CAAATAATAGAAAATATACCACATATTATAGATATTAGGATTAAACACGTATAAAATCTACTCATTCCTAATGATAAAGATAATGCTTTTGATTCAAGTATTTAAAATGACTATATACTGGAAAAAATACACAATAATGTCGTATATTTTATGTTTACTTTTGTCTTTTGAATCAGTAGAGCATGACAAAAAATGATATCAACAAATACGTCATACAAAAAAAATCAGAGATATGCAAGATAAAGTCATCAATAAGAGTGGATCATTGTGCCAGAGAAAGAAAAAATCTATTGGCAAGAGTCGTCAAAGAGAAAATATACATCATCTTTGACTTCCTTTCAAGCTTGAAATTATCTCAAACAAATAGTATTAATTTTTAAATCATCAAACACTTTAATCCTGATCATAGGTTTGTAAATTATGAAAAAAAATCGTTATTGTAATTGTAAATAAGTCTTAAGATAACGAAAAAAGTTTTTAAAAAGACATAATATTCAAATTACTTGCAGTTGGATTTTTCCAACTTCGATCAAGCAAAGGAAGGATAGAAAAATGAGTCATAGAAGACGTATTGTTTCTGTCTTCCAAATTCATGTGATTGACTCAAGTTATTTATTAAACGTAACTTCTAAGAATTAAATGTACAACGAACGATTTTTTGATCATTTATCTACAACAATAAATGTATTCAATTAATTATGCACTAATTAACTATTGAAGATTTTATTGTTGTTTTTTTGAAAGCTAATAGTTGTAGCAAATTTCATTTCTATATAATTAGATAGAGCGTTGATTAGGCTATCCAATAGTATATTTTTCACTTGACTCGACTTATGTGCTGGTCAAAAAATAAGAAGTTTCAAGAAACAAGCAAAAAAAATTTTTTTCTGCGGAATTCTGAGATGCTTTCTTCGACTAATCCCAACGTAAGGGACAAATGAATATATTTAGATTGAGAATTTATTAATCTATCGAACTATATTTACTTTAATTTCCACTTTGACTAACAAATTTAGTGAATTTTCAATTATTTGTTTTTTTCAAAGAAACTAGCTATATTAATCTTTTCCATTAATATACAGTAATTTGTCTATTAATTTATGGAATTTTATCCTAATTCAGTTATAAAATCTTACAGCAAAATTTGGTGCAAATTTAAGTGTGAAAGATCGTTTTCATTTAAGGTTATATTTTACGACAATCGAACTTAGCGTGGGTGAAATATATATTTGCAAAAGTTACTTTAAGCTAATTTTTTTAATCAAGAAATCTGATAAAACAAATGAAAAATATATCATTGGATAGGATAATCATTATCTTACAGAAATAGAAAATTTTTGACATTTTGTACAAATACAATAAACTGAAGAAAATTAAAAAAATTAGTGTGTCATCCTTTACAACAGCAGTTAATATAGATATTAATTTGTAAGTTTCTATCATTTGAAAATTGGGAAATCGAAGGTGATATGTATTTGAATTATTCAATAAATAATTGTGAATTAGGAATTCTTTAATCAAAAAGTAAGAGCATGCAATGACCTGTCTCGGTCTATAGTGGTTGAAACATGTTGGTTAATGTTATCAAATATAAATCTGACGAATGCACATCAAGTACTTAGTTAGATATCGAGAGAATTTTTTTAACATATTCTTTTACAAACTTTGAGTTTTCATTCTCTACGACTCAATTTATGTACTTAATTCTATTTTCATATCAATTTCAATCTGTTGTATCTTGTGATTTCGTCTCGTTCTTTATTTAAAAAAGTTTTATTGAATAACAGAAAGGATTTATTTTATCTTCATTAGGAAAAAACAAATGACTCTTCTTGATTTACTGCGACATTTATCAAGAAAAGCGAATTTAGTTCAATAGTTATGATGTATACTCGAAATTTCAAAAGTAGAAATATAAAAGAGAGCGATTCTACTAACATGTTAATGTTGTTCATTTATCGTATCCAAATCTATTTTGTTTGTTTTTCCATTCATTTACATACTCTATCCTCATGCCAATTACCAAGATTTTTTATTTATTCTTAATTCGATTCCATCTTTCAGAATACGACAAATATTTGTTAATCTACCAAAGAATTATAATACTTTAGCTATTATTACCCTTTTAGATTTTCCTCGTATTGGACTAACAAATAGTCCAACTGTTGAACATATCGATTCAAGTTATTGTTTTAGAATTATGATTTTGACTGTAAATCAGATACTTATGAATTGGTTTGATACTCAAGACATAGCTGTTCAATTTACCATTGATATAGCCAAAGAAACACGATTTTCGAAATCGTGAATTTATTAGTTTATCATAATTATTTTTGACGGTTACGAATCATTCGAAGTAAGTCTTCTTTATCATGTAACTCTCTCCTAACACAAAAGCAACCACATATTAGAAAATCTCTCTTTGGCAAAAATTTTGGAAAATACACTAGAAGAGCCGAAATTTTTAATCAACTAAAACAAATCTTTAGAAATTTTTTTCTGAGGATGTAGCTGTGGCTGAGTGCGGGATCTCTAGGTGACTTTAAGTCTCTCTTGAAAAGGTACTACATAGACAGCCACATCACCCCACATCCTCTTTTGAAGGAACATTCAAACTTGAGATAGCTATGAAAATACTAAATGATTAGTATGTCGTTTGACAAACTAGAAATGAAATTTGTATTATTTGAATGATAAGATTGTATTTTCTTGAAATTTAATCGAAGGCAGTCTTGTTAAATTAGTAGAAAATATCATAACTATTGAAAGTCATGTACATCGAATCGTTAAACCCACGACTTTATTTAAACAAATTAAGTTCAAATTGAAACATGAAAATATTCACAAATTTACATTTATTCGAAAATAATATTCAACTGCATAAAAGTTTAGTGTTAATATTAAGATGTTCAAGAATAATAATCGAAGTTATTATTAAATTTTTCGATCTCTTTCATTTCGTGGAATTGTATTTCTTGTATAGTAGAATTTTAACATTTAGTTTCGATTTAAATCATTTGCTTTCATATCTCACAAACAGAAAATATGAAACTCTTGAAAACATTATGTTTTAGTAGAGCATATTATTTTTTGTAGTCTTCTCTGCTTCCCATCCTCGCTATTTCTTCTCCTCTTTCTGTAAATATCATCGATATTGAGTAATTACGTAAAACTTCTAATATGTGCGCATAGATAACGATCTTCTTTTCTGCCGTGTTCTACTTTCTGTCGAATAGTTGTTGCATAATATCAATACGGTTTCAACTTAACATACGATTCTAATCTAACTATGTACGGAGGTCCGAAAGCGATGATTTATCATGATAAATTGAATCAGCAAAGCTCTAACTATTGAGACCTAATATCACCATCACTCCTCATGACCCTTTTTTTCACTCGTTCTAGAATTATCATCTCATTGATGAAATGAATGTGCTTAGTTTTCAGTGGCTATTCCTCGATGGGGTCTGTAAAAATTAGTTTAATAATTGTGTTTTTAACATCTGGAACTTTGAGTGAAAACGATTAGAATAAAATATTGAAATTTTTGCATCGGGACAATACAATTGACTTGAATAGCTTCGATCCTTTTTTGTATTCTACTCAATCGTATCTAACACTATTTCTTGAATGTTTTTTTTTTTTATAAAAGAGATTTCTTCCTTTTGATAAAACAATGCAATACCATCTATTTGTATCGAATGACAATGATAGAAATCATGAAGTGGTGTTTAAATTTTCTATTTGAAATAATATACGAATGAAATCTGTCCCTGTGTAATTCTCTCTCTATTGGTGTTGAAAATTCAAGGATTATTCTGGATTTTGTTAATTGAACGCCTGATCTCCGATCATTAACTTTTAAACATAAAGCTGACATATGGAAAATTGAAAATTATCTCATCGACAGTTGATAAACTCGTCTAATGGCTCCAATAACATTTATCCTCTACATGTTTGATCATCAACGATACGAATGAAACATTAAATATTCGATTATAAATTAAGTAGTTGATTAAATTACATGAATACAACTCAAAAATAAAATTTTTAAGATGCTGGTATCATTTAACTAAAGGTGAACATTCACACAACTGTACTCAACCACAACATAGGAGAATAAGATATTAATACTATTAAAAAAAAAAGTATGCAAAACTTATAAAAACGAAGATAAAAATATCTTAAAAAAATATTCAAGTAAATAATATTCTTATTTTGAAAACAACATGTGCGAAATACACGAAAGCAGAAAAATAAAATAACATAGATTGAAAACAGGTTTCTTATCATTTTGCTTATACGCAGAAGGCGTATATAACATTGCACTTATTAGGTATGTTCAAAGGTTTCTGATTTCTATTATTCAACTTCTTTTGATATGTGTATACAAAATCGAAGATCGTCTAAATCTTGAACATATGGTTACTCATTCAAAGACTGTTTTATTAATCATTTTTCTTATTACTGTTCTATATGTTGTGCAAGGTTTAACTTTCGGACTCACAAGTAGTTTGCCATTGATTTTACTTGCTCACGATGCTGCATGGAAAGATCAAGGTACATTTAGCTTTACATTTTATCTATTCTCCTTTAAACTTCTTTGGGCACCATTGATCGATGCTCTCTACATTAAACGTTTCGGCAGACGGAAATCATGGCTGGTACATATACAGATTAGTATGGCTGGATTTTTATTAATACTATCGTTCTATGTCGAATCCTTTATAATCAACCTGCGTATTATATTACTCACTATCATTTGTTTTTTTATTGTTTTTCTTACAGCAGCTCAAGATATTAGTGTCGATGGTTTTTCTATTACCTTATTTTCTACAACGAGTCCTCAATCGGCATCAACTTCACAAATTGTAGGAGAAACTTTTGGTTTTTTTTCTTGACTCTTCGTTTCTTTTAACGTTTGAATCAGCTAATTTCACTAATCGATTCATTCGTAAGCCACTTTCACTTCCTCAGACTTATTTACAGTCGAACAATTTATGCGCTCTTCAGCTGTAGGTATTCTCGTTGTTACTACATGCCTTATCTTATTACTTCGTCGTGAAAAAGAAAACGCATCAGTGTCCGATGATGAAAAAACAGAAAGTCTTACTTTACTCGAAACTTATCTTGCAATTTGGAGACTTTTCAAGAAGATATATATTCAACAGTTGACTCTCGTTGCACTACTTCCTCCAATAGGAATATTAGCTATCAATTATATGACTCATTTATCACTCATAAAGTAAGTGAAGACAATATTAACTTTTGACTTTATTGTAGTTAGAATTCATAATCTTGGAACAAAAAAAATTACTTTGAACAATTGTTCAAGTTGATGAAAAATACTATTTCGTACAGTTGGTGTTTTATTTTCAAAAGAACAGTCAGCCTTCATTAAAATACTTCAACACATTCGATAGCTTTCAAAATAATGAAATTGTGCTTTAAAATTATTATTAGAGAACATCTCTCGTAAAAACCATAAACAGTATTAATTATCTTTATGAGACAACTACATTATGTTACTTCTTTCATTTCCTTTTTAGGCAAGATGTACCACGTGAATATTTAGCTCTGATCAAAATATCAGTGACTCTCATCACACTTATAGCACCTCTAATTATTCGTGATACAACACGACCTCTCACATGGTTTGCTCGATCTTATTCGTTGTATCTTGTCAGTAGCATACCAATTGTTGTTTATGCCTAGCTCACTTCTCGTATAATCTCATCGATTTATTAGTATTCGTTACTTATTGTACTTTTGGCATGCAATGAATTCATTAGGACATTGCGATTCACAGCGCAAATCAATTTTTTCGCTTCGATATATCAGCCAGGTATTGGTGGCACGTATATGACGTTACTCGTCACTTTACATAATTTAGGATTTTCTCTATATCCATCAGTTATTTATTATTTCGATAGGTGTATGCACTATTATTGGTATTCTATGGCTTGGACTTTCACTTCGAACTTTGAATTGTTTACAAGAACTGTCCACTTACGAATGATATCTTCAGAGATAAAAACAAACACGGATTATGAGACAGAACCGAACGAAGCAAGTTCAAATAACTGTAGAGCATCATTGGTTTCGGACAGAGATATGAAGCAAATGACTTGACATTTTTTTCCCTAATGTTTGATTTTATGTGTGTGTAACGAAAACAGAGTTGGCATTTCTAGAATAGATTTCCTTGGCTCTGCTAAGAAATCTTCTTAGTTCCAATAGACATTTAAAAAAAAAAACAAAGAAAACTAGGTTCTATTCGAGTTTCACTTGAATATGAAATATGCTGCGAATCAGAAATCTCAATTTTTGAAAAAACCAACGACTTATGATTCATGGAAATCATCGTGAATTGCTCATACACTAAAAATGTTTATGTTTAATTGGAATCAAATATTTTGTTTTTGTTACTATGAATCAAAAATGTTACAATTTCATCAATCAGCTGATCACAGTCTCAATGAACATGAAAAGCTCTTATAGTAAAATTCACGAGAACGAAAACCCTATGAATAATTGTCACCATTTAATTAATGAGCGCTGTCAATTCATCGTTTGATTATCGATAAGGAGTGAGTGTGGAGAAGCGCGTGTTTATCTAAGCGACATAAAAATAGTAAGTTTCGTTTTAGCATTTCAGGATGTATCCGAAAAACTGTTTCTAGCCGAACATAATCGAGCACTTCTGTGTTGGTATTTTTATAATCCACACCTCCACCGCACCCAAGATCAGCACTACCTCGTGTATAAAATTCTAATATAGATTTTAATCTATTGTCTTGTTTTCTTTTTCTATTTCATATATACATGAACGTAAATTAAAGGAATCTTGAACATGACGTAATTTCAAGATAACATTAAAAAAAACAGGCAATTTTGTTTCTGGTAAATATTTGACATCTATGCTTGGTTCGTTTTTAAAACTTCTGATGATATATAAAAACGCATGGGCGTCATAATTTTAGAATTAGTGACAAGATGTGTACGTACAATAGATTATCGCAAAATAAAAAAAATTCAACAATTTTCAATTAATTTTATTGAACAAAACATAAATAAAATTAATATTCTTGATATACGTTACACATTAAAACAATAAATGAATTCTTTTTTAAAAATGAATAGAATAAGAATGACTATTGTTAATATGTAAATACACATTCAATAGAATGTACAACACGAAAGATATTTACTATGATATTTTTCGGATGATATATTTACTGACACATCATTTTTTTTTTTGATAAATCTATCAATTAAAGCACAGATTTTTATATCATGGAACTTTCCTACGTTGCAAAAATAATGGCATAAAGTGTTAATTCTTTTGTTTTTTTGAACAGAAAAGTGCTAAGGGAAAACGTTATTTATTAAAAGAAAGAGCTTTTTCTCTCCTCTACTAAATCATATATAAGTTATTTTCATGAAAAAGAGACACTCTTGAGGATGGGATGTGGGCGAGTATGTATAAGTGGACGTAAAGACAACATCCACACCCTACATAGTGCATAGAACATAGTGCATAAACTACATGAATCTTAGAATTCTAGGAGAAAAAAAGAATTGAAGTTTCGGATGGAATACATTGATTATTAAAGAACAGAACAAATGATAAATGTCTTGATTGAATTAAAAAATTTCAAGTGTTTATAATTATTCTATTTGAGCGTCATTTATTGACACTTTTTTTTATACCTTGAAAAATGCCTTGTTTCGTTGCATATAAACAATTAGTAGAACAATATCCTATAAACAAAAATAGTTTTAATTTAGATGATATTTAGCATTAACTTTAAAAAAATGTTCAACTCTCATTTCTAATCAAATAAAAAAAAATTGTTTCACATGTGTGGAAAAAAAAATAACTACTTGGTGATTTTCTTTTCTTCTTTACTTTGACAAATATGTCTTATCAATTCTTCTCTTAAAAGTGTTGATCATTAACTGTAACATTTATTTTTGTTATTCTCGTTCAACAAATATATGATAGAATAAATACTACGTCAAAACCTAATCATGTTGTTCTTAGTTATCTTGCCAATTTATTTCATTAATTATTAGGAGAAATTAGGGATCGATTAGTGATGAATGAAAAATATATAATGACTTTAATGCTAACGTCATTGAATAATGAGATTAGTTAAATCTATTATATATTCAAACATTTTCAACAAATAAGATTAGATCAAATATTAGATTAGGTTCCTTTTTGGGATATGTTTCTATCTAAAATGACGGCAGATGTGAATTATGCTATTCTATAGATATTAAATATTTTGATAAAAGCATACAGGAATAAACTCCTCTTGAACAATATCAACCGTGATATTTTATAAGAAAACATTCTACGTCAATGTTTCTCGAAAAAAAAATGTAACTGATAAAACTCATTATCAAAAAATTTCTCTATTTTATTCTATTACGTTTTGTGATTACTTTGCCTCAAATTAATCTTCCTCTTACTAATGAAGGATGTGGGTGGGTGTGGAGTGTAGAGTTTGGATTGGGAGAGGTTGTATTGCGTGATCAACATCCCCACACCCTTACCCTAATTTTAATATTCAAGTTTGATTGAATGCCACCACCATCTACAATGCGATTTTTAGAAACGAAGAAATGAGTTATGATTATGTTTTGTACATATTATTCTCTCGCAATTTCATATTAACGAGAAAAATCAGCCTTATGCAATATCAATGGTGGAGAGTATAAAGCTTATCTTCATGCCTCTAATCGAAACCAAAGCTAATCAATGTAGATATTTTAACGAATAATAGTCATTAGTTAGAACAAGAGATTCTCCAACACACTTGAATTGATTACTTTTAGATTTGTTATATGAACTTAATTCTTTCATAGAAGATGATATGTTTAACTGTTTTTTTAAATCCATGAACAGTTTTTCATTATCGACGCATTTACTTACATAATTTCGATGAATATGTAATAAAAGGCGAAAGACCAAATTTTTTTTCAAAAATTGATTTTCTCTGTTTATATACCTTGAGAAAGAGATTTTTCATATTAATTCTGTAACACCAAGGAACTAAGTTAATTTTTTAAAATACTGTCAAAAAGAGAGACAGAGACGCCCGTTTTTATTGAGAAACGTTGAATTTTGACATGATTTTTTGAAGGTTTTCTCTCTTACTCTCCTAATTTATGAATTCACTACTTGTAAATACTAAATAAGACGCACTTGAATTCATTTATTTCATTTACAGCTAAATAATATCTATTCTAAAGAAATGATTTGATAGTAATAGCATGATCAAAAAAAAAACATGCACATATTGACCAATCATTATATGAAAATTCCTCGTTAAAAACTTTTTTCTTGAGGCTTTTTTTATATTGAATAAGATCTTGAAAAAAGTGAGAGATGAAAGTATACTACACGATAAGAGATGTTCTTCAAGTTAATTCATTGATTATTTATAGTTATGCTAACAACTATTTCATAGTTTAAATCATATTTAACGACGAAAAAAAAAATTCTATAGCACAGAATGAAAAAAGTTTTAAATGAAGTTCTTCAATCGCTTCATAAAAAAAAAGAAGAAAGGTAAAATTTTATTTTGACAGATCTTTTTTAAACTTATTCCTACAAGAAAAAGCTTTCATGTAAGATGACTTATATTTTTACTTTTTTTTGATTTGTGACGACATGTTTAATTGGGTTTATTTTATAAAAGAGAAAAATGAGTTATTTTATTTACGTATGTAATTTTGTCATCAGTCTTCTACTTAGAGTATAATACATAGTAACAAGTTGCAATTCAGGATTATCGACGGTAAAAATGTTGACGTTAATCAGTAATACAGTCAAGACAATAGAATTTCAATCATCCACACGATAAAATATTGATTGAACAGTATCTAACAACTTGACAACCAGAAAACTTAATTTTCGACCATCATTTAAAAGGTCGATTTCGTCATTTTTTTTTGAGCTAATGATTTATTTGTTGTTATTTTCACTTGTACAGAAGAATGAGAATATTATACCAATAACTGCCGCTATTGAAATTATTTGAAAACGTTCGAATAGTCTCAATGTACTTGTGTTACGATCGTTGAAAAATAAATCTAGTTTGTTCATTTATGGTAGACTTTGTGTTTGCACTTTAAACTGACAGAGAAAATATATAGAACACGAAATTCAAACTTAACAGTGCAAATTTCTTTCGAACATGCGCTAGCCGCACAATTAAATTGCCATTCATTTTTCTTATGAATTCAATTTTAAAAAGTTCAAAAGTATGTACATGATAATCTATTATACGTTTTATATACTTCCGAACGATAGAACGATCAGTTTGGTTAAGCAAAGCGAGTTCGTACTGCAAATTCAGGCAAATACCGAAGTTGAGTTTTTAATAGAGGATGATGCAGCGAAGCTTCCTCTTTCAGAATATATATAGGTTTTTGAAAAATGATCGGGTTTTCAAAGACTTATCCCATGAAACTTAAAACCCACTACCATGTTTTCCTAGAAAACTTCACGATGGTCAGTTTCAGAAAAATTGCCTTCCCATTAGGACTATTGCTGGACAGAACATTTTCACACAAATCACCATATCAGATGGAGTTAATGAACGCCATTCATCACGTTCTTTAAGATGGTTCAGTGGAATATACCACTGCAACATAACTTATTCTGGGTTTTAATAAAAAATCAACTTTTAAAATTTCTT